GTGTGTGTGTGTGTGTGTGTGTGTGTGTGTGTGTGTGTGTGTGTGTGAGAGAGAGAGAGAGAGAGAGAGAGAGATGGCTGTATCCAGGCTCGCACCTCCTCCTAGGACAGAAAGACACAAACAGACAGACTGGCGAGGAGAGGAGGTGATCTGCAGCTGGAAGAAACAGCTGTTTGGTCACTTTGTATTTCTGTGCAGATTTAAACAGAATGAGGCGTTTTTATTGTATTTACAAAGAGATGTGTACAATAATAGAGCTTAGAAAACAATTTTCTTCTTCTTTTTTACAGTTTAGTTATTTGGATCAGTCACACTGTCGTGCTTTAAAGTCAGCGCCTCACGAAGCCCCTCAGTGCACAAAGTTTCTATAGACTTCTTGCTGAATTTAATCAAGACGTTTAAATAAAATAATATGTGAAAAGAATTACAAAATACCCCCTCCCAAATTTGCCACAACAGTTCTGCCAAAGGTCTGTTTCTGTGAAAAGGATTTTGTTTTTCACCAAGTGCTATATAAATAATATTAAATTGAACTGAAAGCGCAGGTTTTAAATGCCCAGGCTATTCTTTGAAATATATTTTCACCTCCTTGCTGGTAACAGTATAATACTCTGGAGACATGAGAATTTCATAAACAGCAGCAGAGGAATGAAATGATGACGTTAATAATGAGTTCCAACTTGTCTTAACCCACTGTCCTCCTTTCCCTGCTGACATGAAGCGCTGAGCTGTAACGAGAACGACGGCGAATCCATGGACAGGGACTCCCAGTACAGCTCCAGTCAGAAGACCAAGCGCATGCGGACGTCCTTCAAGCATCACCAGCTGAGGACCATGAAGTCCTACTTTGCCATCAACCACAACCCAGACGCCAAGGACCTCAAGCAGCTTGCCCAGAAAACTGGCCTCACCAAGCGGGTCTTACAGGTAGCGCCAGCAGCCTCTCACTTCTCGACCACAGTTCACTTTTTTGTTACTAAAAGTAGCTCGCACAAGCCAACAGGGCGACGTTTCCAGTGATAACCAGTGGTAATATAAATGAAGTGGTGTTTTACAGTTAGGAGCCAAATCAGCTGCTTTATTTTATGATTTTGCTGTTTTTCATCTCAAGTTCTTGGAAGACTTTTAGGAAACAAGTAAAACAAAATCAGAATTGGATTCCCTTACTTTGTTTCTGTTTTCTTTTCTCGTTTTCATAACAGCAGAAGCAGAATTTCTAATTGCCTTCAGGAAAAGCAGACTTAATATTTCTGTTCATGCTGGAAACCAAAGTTACCTGGAAATCAAAGAGAAATGTTAAAAAAAATGAAACGTAATATAACTCAGTGGATGATGTGATGTTGTGGTGACGAGTGAGGGATGAAAAGCAAAAAGCTCTGTAATACATGCAAAGAATGCGACAACACAACAGAGCATTTGATTTCCACAAAAGACGACAGCAAATTATCTGGGGTACTGAAAAGAAGAAAAATAAGACAAAAAGGTTTCTAAATCAAAATTTTACTGAGAAGGAAGAAAAAAAACATCCCGCTGCTTTAATTAACGCTCACAGAAAACAAAGCAGTCGTTTTGCTTTGATGCGTTCGAGTTTTCATGTCTGTTACTTCAGCTGAAGCGACTCTCTAGCCGCCCGATTCCCATGGCTCCATCATGACTCCATCACTAACACTTCCCAACACTCAGCTCGGCTGCTGCCTCGTTCGCTCTGCAAATCACAGAACACACTTTTATTACTGGAAAAAGAGAGGAAATCTTATATTCAAAAACATGACAAATAAATGAAAATCCCAGAGCAAAAAAAGAAGGTTGTGATAAAGAAAAATAAGAATATCGTTAATCTTATTGCAAATGTGTAAAATCATAACTGCATTTCTTTCTGCAAACACTGTAAATAGGACCCGTGTTGCTTTTTGCCAGGGTCAATGAAAGCAGGAGGACATTGCTCTCTATTTTCATGTGCAAGCATAATAAAAGAAATGGCTTAATTTCTTTTGTGTGAACAGCCATGAAAAGTAAAGGCTTTTATAGCTTTTACACACAGAGGACGAGCGCTCAGGCTTTGTGTTTCCAAGTGTTCTTTTATCTTTGTCTCCAGTCAGAACATCTGCAAACAGACTTTAAAGAGACACAAAGAGATGCTCGCTAGATAATGGAGATAATATGGGTATTCTTGAGATTCAGTGACATCACAAGCCGCGTTATATTTTGATATATTTACATTTTTGAAATATACTTATTCCCCAAGAGATACACGTCTGTTGCTTCACTGTGACAGTTTCTACATTTGTCACAGGCTGGTTTAGGTGCGGAGAAGTTTTGGTCTTAGTCAAAGAAAAATTGTGAAATGCGTTCAGTTAAAGCTGAGTTAAAATTTTCATACTTCCATACTTACTTAGGTTTCAGATATTTAAACTCCTTTCTCTGGTTTTCATCACCAACTGTCGTGAAACACGTTTGGTGCTTTAGCTGTTAAAGTCAAGTAAGCAAACAATTATGTAATGAATTATTATTTGTCTGTGTCGGTCTTGTGATTGACCCTTTTGCCGTTTCCAACTGTGCGTTCTGGAAACATGAACATGTGTTAGTTACCTCTCAGCTGATACATCACAACTAGCCAGTTTCCAACACAAGAGGCTGATACCCCTGAGAGGGCTTTTCCCAGCTTTCAGGCAGCCATAGGTCTCCTTTATTTTACTAGAGCATCAAAATTAGCTTCGAGACCTGCCTGGGATACAGTAGGTAATCCATCAGCATGAGTATCACGTGCTCTTTTTATTAGTGTCGGTGCTGTGTGGTGAGGCAGCTGAAGAGCCTGAACTGTATTACCTGCTGTAGGAAGTGACAAGACTGAGAGAAGAAATCATGTTCAGTGTGTTCACAGTGACGCATTACATTTTGTTAGAAATCCAGTTTACATACAGACTGTTAAAGGAGCGGGCTGGCATTTATGTAGCAGAACACTTCAGACTATAGTCTGCAGAAAACTGTATGACCAACAGCAAACATAATGCATAAAAGTAGTGTGTTGAACATGTTGGAGACAGGAGTTCCCGGTTAATCGAACAGTGTAGAAAGGGCAGAGGAACATATTGAAATCTATCTTTAGTGGTGTGCAGACTTTTAGCCCAATATACTGGAAGTGCTCACACCACTGAAAATTACATTTCAGCACCAAAACAAATATATGTGGAATTATTTTACTGAAGGAAACGGCTCCAAATAAAAAAATGTTTATATTTCAAAACCTGGACCCAAGAAAGCAAAACCATCTGCACACTCAGGAACGACCAAATAGGTTGAACTGAAAGTCCTGTAATAATGTAATAATAATGTTTTTCTGCATGAATGTTATTTCTTTATGATATCAAACACACGTGGGTTTGTTTTGGTATTTAGAAGTGTACTAACAGATCATCCATCTGCAGGTGTGGTTCCAAAACGCTCGGGCCAAATTCAGGAGGAACCTGCTGCGGCAGGAGAGCACCGGGGTAGACAAGGCGTCCGACGGCTCCACGCTGCAGGGTGGTACACCGTCAGGCCCGGCCTCTGAGATCTCCAACGCCTCCATGAGTCCCTCCAGCACACCCACCACCCTTACGGACTTGACCAACCCCACCATGCCCACTGTCACCTCTGTGCTCACCTCCGTGCCGGGTAGCATGGATGTCCACGAGTGCCGGAGCCCATCACAGACCACGCTGACCAGCCTCTTCTGATAGATGGAGCCCTTCTTCACAGCCCCCTCTCCCCTGCCCTCCCTGGCCCCATCCCTTAGCTCCCCCCTGCTCACCTCTGCTCCTTGTGGATCTACAATTAAGCACGGTTCACTCCTTGGAACATTTAACGGATTAGAAAACAAAAGGAAGCAAACTGAAAAGGTTTCCTTTAGAGACTGTTTGATTAGTGAGGTGGCTGAGCCTTACACACCGAACATTTGTTGTTATTTTGATGTTGTCTTGTTGAGAACTGAGGAGACTTGATTTGCATTTTTCAATGTTTACAGAGAGAGACTGAAACTGGTCAAAAAAAATTTGGAATATTGTTTTTTCCAGCACAGTATTTATGTTATATTGTACAAGAGTCACTGTTAGAAGGATTGTAAAAAATCGTTTTCTTTCTTTCTTTCTTTCTTTCTTTCTTTCTTTCTTTCTTTCTTTCTTTCTTTCTTTCTTTCTTTCTTTCTTTCTTTCGTTCGTTCTTTTGTTTTGGAAATCTGAGATTAAACACAGGTTACAATATCCTATGACTGCCACGTGCCTTACGGTCCACTTATCTTAACTGCTGTTTCTAAAAGTCGGTCACACGTGAGTGATTTGCATCAGAACAAAGCAGTATGACTGAATTAACTCGACTCCTTGTGCGCATTTACGTATGTGTGTGAGTTCTGGCTTGTTCCTCTTTGTGTTTGTGTGAACGTGCAGTAAAGCCCATTCGGCTGCACTTTAATTTAAAAGAAAAAGGCGAGAGGCAAATAATTCTTGTTTTTGATCTCAACTCTTTTGAATCGTCTTCACTTAAACTTGGCTAAAAAGCTGTTGTTCAAAGTCTCGACTTTTAGTTTAATGCACTGGCGGCCCGATGCAGATCAGTTCATGATACTAAACCTCACCAAATGATGCGATCGATTTCATTAACATCCACCAGGTTACTGAGACCCGTCTCGGTGCATGCCCATTCCTTTTTAATTTTCACTTCTCTGGAACAAACACAAAGCTTTTAATAGGAAAAAGATGTAACATCTCAGCAACATCCTCACTAGTTACTAGTTTAGTTTCTTAAAATTTGATCATTTAGCAGGTGACTAACCCTGGATAGGTTGCCGGTAACCTGGTGGATGTCAAAAGGTTAAGTTCAGATTTAACATGAACTTGTGAACTCAAACATGGCTTTAAAGACACTGTTTTCTGTTGTTAAGATATTCAGTGACTTTAAAAGTCATGTAGACGTGTCAAATTTCAAGTTGAAGTGATAAAACACACAATTAAATATTTTAAAAATGCCTCTTGATCTTCCTTTAAATACAGCGAGGATACAGATTTGAAGAACTGCTTTCAGTCAAATCTTTCATGTTATATATATGTTGCATGAGACCTACTGCGTCCAGCTGTAAGGTATCATAACAAACACCAAGTATCCTGCTTCATGTCTGATTTATAGTACTGTGTTAAATCTATACTGTGTCCTATATGCCATAACAGACATTGTACCTTGATGTGCACCTTCCCAAAAATGCTACAGCGATGCACCTCTGATATGTGGGGAAGTATTATGCCATGTAAAGAAAAAGGAAAGTGCCTCCGTGAACCAAACACGAGCTGTAACTCGATCTAGTTGCTCAAAATGCTAATGCAAAGTAATCTGCCAGTCAGGCTGTTTTTCATAGCTCTGCTTATACGTGTTTGAATCTCAGTCAGAGTAACTGTTCAGTATTTATTACTTTCAAGCCCAAAATGAGTAACTTAGTGTCACTTATGATGGCAGAGCGATACAGACGTGCCAGCGCAAACAGCTGTTCACTACGGCGTAGATGTTACGGGGATTCAACGCAGTACTATAAGGTTCCGATTACGCCAAAGCGTATGTTCAAAATAACTTTTATGGGAAAAGATTATGTTGGTCAAAGGAATTCACAATATCAATTTCACCAGGACGGCATCAGGAGCAACTTCAGTCAGGTTCAAAGCCTTTTTAGGAAATTCATTCAAGTACATGTGCTCGTTGTGCAATTATTTAGGATATCCTTATTACACAGTACAAATCCTTCATTTTAAAATATAGTTTTTACCAATAAACAGCTGGCAATAAACAATGAAAATAACAATGAAATTTTGGGGGTTAAACTGTAAAGGTGTGTGTGAGTGTGTGTGTGTGTGTGAGAGCGAGATGGAAATATATATGCTGTGAATGGGGGAGAGCTGTCGCTGCTGCTTGTGGAATACGGTGATCTGTCCCAGGCTGCTGTAACAAACCTCACTGAGCTCTTCATGTTGTGCTGCTTCTGCACATTCGTGTACGCGTCACTGTTGTCCTCGGTTTTGTGAGAAATATAAACACTATCGATAATAAGACTTGTCTGTTGGAAGAGAGTTTGTACCTCCGAGTGCGAGTTTTCTACATGTGTACATATCGTATTCATTCAGAGATGGCGTGCTGTGAGGGGTCAGAGGCGTTTGTGATGCAGTGATGAGTGGAGTGGCAGTTAAATCAAGCCGCTGCGAGGTTGGATGGGCATTTGGCATTTTTATTATTTCTATTTTTTTATTTTGAAGATTTCTTTTCATTTTTTGACTTTTACGAGCGAACTGTAAAACAGACCATCAATAAATATTTATATTTATTTTAATTTGAAGCATGTCAGATACCCCGACATTTACTTATTTAGCTGTTTGGATCAACATGCCGCAGTCAACATCGCTAACATGCTACACAAGCTAAGGGTAGTTTCGATTTTCACTGAACGATACCGCTGTTTTCCTTCTTCCCCTCGCCCCTCCAACCAATCACACTCAGAGCTGACCCTCACTGATGCTGGTTCTGCCAGAGGTCTTTTCCTATTAAAGGGAATTCTTCCTTCCCACCGTCACCAAGTACTTGGTCATAGGGAGTCATCACATCATTGGGTTTCTCTCTTGTCTTTCTTTTACCTTACAATATCAAGCATCTTGATATCATGTTGTGAACTGGCTGCTATATAAATAATAGTGATTTGAATTGAAAAAACAAGTATCCATGTTTCTTTGATGATCCTGAAAGGCATATGCCACAAATTCAGCACAGGTGAAATTTCTTGTTGGGTTGACCCAAGACTCAGTCGAAAGTACAGATTCAAAATATTTGGGGAGTATTTTTGCCTTTATTCACCGATTGGAGCAACAGACAGAGCTGTGTGAAAGACTCAAAGCTCCCTGTTTAGAACGAAACTCCAGTCCTGTGCTGATTCCACTTTGAGTTGTTTATATTTTTCCAAAACTGCTGAATAGTCCAGACTACAAGAACACTAGTAAAGCATGTTTGAAAGCCGCGTAGCAGGTGTTAGGAAATAGAACCTGAATATTTGGAAATGTGAAAGCTAAAGCTGAACTATCACAGGCAACCACGACAGCTGTCTGCTGTGTGGACTGTTGATTCATTTCAGCAGACCCAAATGCAGGAAATGGGAATTATTAAGCTCAAAGCATTTAATGCTGTTAGTGCAGGAATTACATGACGTCCGAAAATCCCAAAACATTTCAGGACCAAAGCCAGGGAATCTGAAGATCAGATGTCAATAGGAATACAAATTCAGGAAGCACAGAGAACATGGAAGCGCAAGGAGACACGCGGCTACATGGACGACACAACAAGGACAACATAGACAAGAGATAATGAGCAAATGGGAAACAGGTGGGGAACACAGCTGAAGATAATTAAAATAATGACATGAGGGACGTTAAACTCAACACAGGACACAGGAAAAACAGCTACTAAAATAAAACAGGAAGTAAGACGCAACTTAACATGGGAAAGAAATGAACTCAGCACAAGGAGGGCAGAGGCAGGGGAAGTCACAAATCCTCAAAGCTCTGGGTCCAAGACGCTGGGAATATGACAGCAGGACTGCCAGTAATAACACAGTGATTTAATGAAACAAAGCAAAGCTGCAGCTGTCATCTTTTTCCTTTACAAACACAACACGTGAGTCCATGCAAGATTTCCACTGCCAGCTTGTAAAGAGTGCTAATAATTCATCAGCTAGCAGCAACATGACTCAGCTGCTAAAACCAGCGCAGAGGTTCTTGCAGTTTCCACATCTGTCCGTCTGTACATGTGTCCAATAACTAGAATCAAGATACAATTAAGCTCACAAACACTTAACCACCATTATGGTAGTAAATGAGTAAGTCACGCCAAAATGGATGCTAATTGGACAACAGGCTTAAAACATCATTCAGTCACCAGCAAAACTGCTCGAATACGTTTGTAACGCAGCTAAATGCTGAAAAAAGGGTTTGGCCTCTACCTGTCAGAGGCCAAACCCTGGATTATACGTAACTTTATACCAAAATAACATTTAAACAGAAGTTTTGAGTTTTTAAGGCTCACCCAAAGCATTCATCTGAGGAACTGCAGTCTCTGGCACTTGCTCTCCTGGTCCTGACTGACAGAACGGTTGGATCAGCTGCAGGATTATTCTGTTCTGCTATGAGTGGTTGTTTTTCTGTCAGGCAGTTACTGAACCTTTGGTTATTGCAAAAGATTGTGTAGTAGCATGTAGCATGAAACTACTGTCGTACACCCTTAAAGCAAATATAGTTTTAGCATAAAGAGGAAAGCCTATAAAAATTCAGGATATAATTACTGGCTTATTGATATTATCATGATTGTTCAACTAACTGCTCAAATTACTGTTATTAAAGGAAATGAGCAAATTCGCCAATAATAAGACTGAATTGAATTTTGCTAGCTAGCTGCTAGCTGCTGACCCTACAGCCCCTGAGCTGTCTTTAAAGTCAAAGCTTTGAGAGATGCAGTGATCCCAGTTTTTCAGAATAGTGTAGTATCCAATAGAAAAAAACTTCTGAGAATTATAATATGATATTATATCGTCCAAACATGTACAACAGTGCTACATAGATGTGTGCATATGTATGATTTCATACAGCAAACTGTCACTGAGTTTGTGTGCGAGCTCTTTGTGTCTGTGCCTTTTATATGTGATTATTTCAAAAGCACTGTTACATCCAGCCACTTTCTCAGAACTGGAGCACTAAAAAAAAAAAGATCATTTTGAAAAACTTTATTTCCTTTAAATGAGCATCTGTGCCAAAGCTGAGAGTGGTAGGAGTTGGCAGCCTTCCTGAAACTATAATCCTAAAAAAGGGGAAAAATTGTGTCCATGAGCAGCTTTTCCTTACTCTGCTGGAGCAAATGTGTTCAGTTTTCTCATGGCTGGAGCAGCAGGGACTTGCGCTAATCATAACGGTAGGATGAGTTTCCACTTTAAAAAAATATTAGTTTAAACTCAGCACCAACACAAAAATTTAACAAGGACTTGGTGGGTGGAGGAGTGAGTGAGAGGTCTGGCGAACAGCAGTCTTTACACTTT